ACACACTCATATATATATATATATTTTTTTTTTACCTTATTCATCAAAGACATGGTGGCATTCCCAAAGTAGTGCAAAGGACTCTTGAGGTCAGAAAAGTTGTACTTAAAACCAGCAAGGTGAACTTCATGACATATGTGAAATGCCAACGTAATGGCAATAATTCCTGTTGTTGGGTGTTTGGGTTTCTGGAGGAGGAAATGAAAATTTAGGGAAAAAAATCCAAACAAGGTACCTGTTTCCAAAACATTTGGGTGACCTAATCTTATAAAATAGCATCTTCTGAACATTTAATCAGGACAGAAATACTTCAGTTAAATCCTTGTCATGCCCTAAGGTTCAAGCCCCAAAGTTAATATCCTAACTCTGAATATAAAGTGTTGCTTGGAATCTTAGAAAGTCTCTCAGGTCAAACTTAACTGCAGTACTAGTCCAGAAGACAGCTATCAAATGAAGCCTTTAAGGAAAAGGATGCTGCTGCCTTGTTTTTAAAAAACACACCAAAGTCAAGCAACTTGTAGAAAAAGCAAAGCCTGAGAATGTTAAACCCACGTATGAAACGTAAGGACAGCTTAATTCACTAACGGATAAGATCATGCTAAAAGGCTTCAAATAATTTAGCCTTAAAATGGTTCTGTTTTATAATGCTGATAATTTAGCTCTAGGGAAAGACAGCTTTAATCAAGTAACTTCAATAACAAATTGCCATGGTAATGATCTGACTAGAAAATAAAGATTCTAGACGTATATACAGATTAAAGTCACAATCTCAGTTTTGTTTTTAAATTGATTATAATTTTAACTAAATTTTAACTAAAAAGAAAGAAACCAAGCATCGTCTTCACATGTACATATATCCTGAAAAACACTATAATAGATGTTTGGCAGAAGGGTCTTGGCATTCAAAGTTTTCATTCTCGTTGGATGGCCTTCAGAGGCAAAACCAAGATATACCTTAAATTTACTAATACAAAAATTCAAGGAGATTTTCTTTTGATTAAATGTTTCTTACAGATCCCATGGAAATTACATATGATTAATTATGATTTTGAGAAAAAGAAAAAAATCAGAGCAGCACAATAAAATCAGATAAACTCCAGGATGCAAATTTGTCTGCAAGCCTAACAGCCTTTTTTTTTTTAAGTCTTTTTTTTTTTTAACATCTTTATTGGAGTATAATTGCTTTACAATGGTGTGTTAGTTTCTGCTGTATAACAAAGTGAATCAGCTATATGCATACATATATCCCCATATCTCCTCCCTCTTGCGTCTCCCTCCCACCTTCCCTATCCCACCACTGTAGGTCATCACAAAGCTTGGAGCTGATCTCCCTGTGCTATGCAGCTGCTTCCCACTAGCCATCCATTTTACATTTCACTCCCCTAGTAAGTTTCCGTTCCTACTCTCCAAGATGACAATTTCACACCTTTCTATCCAACAGCTCTACCCTTCTTCCTACTTTGTCAATTTAATCCTTATTTTTCTTAGAAAACAGAATCGATCAGACAAGAGCTACATCATCTTCACAATTCCAAATCTACCTTCATCTTTAACCATATTTTCAGTGCTCACTCCTATGTGGATGAAGATGTCCCTGTTCCTACCTACGGCCAACCTCTCCACTCGTGCACTCCATTTTATCACATTTCTTTTCTCAACAATTTCGCTTTCACAAGTATCCCTTTTCTCTCTTCATCATCAATATTTCCCTCTATTGAATCATGCCCTTCAGCACACAAACATATCATCTATCTTTCTTTAAAATAAAAAAAACCTTCTTGAGCCTATATCTTCCAACCATTTCTCTGCTTTCTTTTCTAGCAAAACTCCATTAAAGATTTGCCTCCGCTCACTCGTGTCCCATGTTCTCTCTCTTTAACCCAGTTCAGTCAGGCTGTTTTTCTCTTTCTTACCCTTGTCCATATCAATATGACCTCCATGTTTACAGGACCGCATCTGACATAGCTGACCTCTCTGAAATACAGCTGTGTCCCTCCCTTGGCTTCTGGGACACTGTGTCCTACTAGAACTTCAGTCTACTTACAACTAGTTCTAGGATCATCTCTAAGTAAGACCAGGGTCTTCCTGTGCACCACCTAAAACAAAAATCAAGGAACAAATCTGATCTTACTTCATGTAGGAAAGTAAGAGCTGAAAAGTCACAAAATATACATTCAGAAGCTGTCCTTTCCCCTCAAAATTACTATGAAATAGGGTTTAAATTTAAACTATTTATGCTTTTTGACTTGGGAATTCCACTTCCAGATGTCCTTCCTACAGAAATCACACAAGTGTGCAGAAAATCTCTATAAGTACATGCATTTCTACATTACCTATAGAGGATAAAAGCTGGATATAAAACTAAAGGTCTGGGCTTCCCTGGTGGCGCAGTGGTTGAGAGTCCACCTGCCAATGCAGGGGACACGGGTTCGTGCCCCGGTCCGGGAAGATCCCACGTGCTGCGGAGTGGCTGGGCCCGTGAGCCATGGCCACTGGGCCTGCGCGTCCGGAGCCTGTGCTCCACAACAGTGAGAGGCCCGCATACCACCAAAAAAAAAAAAAAACTAAAAACTAAAGGTTTGTAAATAGGGGAAGGGTTAATTAAATGGAGAGGGGAAATAGCAGAACAGTATCTATAGTATAATCACAATTATACTGAACAAACAAAAAGTGCTTGTGTTTGTAAATGAATAGACAAGAGTCTATGCAAACAATAAATGCTAGAGAGGGTGTGGAGAAAAGGGAACCCTCTTGCACTGTTGGTGGGAATGTAAATTGATACAGCCACTACGGAGAACAGTAGGGAGGTTCCTTAAAAATTAAAAATAGAACTACCATATGCCCCAGCAATCCCACTCCTGGGCATACACCTGGAGAAAACCATAATTCAAAAAAATACGTGTACCCCAGTGTTCACTGCAGCATTATTTACAATAGCCAGGACATGGAAGCAACCTAAATGTCCATCAACAGAGGAACAGATAAAGAAGATGTGGTACATATATACAGTGGAATATTACTCATCCGTAAAAAGGAACGAACTAGTGCTATTTGCAGAAACATGGATGGACCTAGAGACTGTCATACAGAGGAAAGTTAAGTCAGAAAGAGAAAAACAAATATCGTATAATACAGCTTATATGTGGAATCTAGAAAAATGGTACAGATGAACTTACTCCCAAAGCAGAAATAGAGACACAGATGTAGAGAACAAACATGGATACCAAGAGGGGAAGGGGGGATGGGATGAACTGGGACATTGGGATTGACATATATAATTACTATGTATAAAATAGATAACTAATGAGAACCTATTGTATAGCACAGGGGACTCTACTCAGTGCTCTGTGGTGACCTAAATGGGAAGGAAATCAGAAAAAGAGGGGATATAGGTATAACTGATTCACTTTGCTGTACAGCAGAAACTAACACATTGTAAAGCAACTATACTCCAATAAAAATTAACTTAAAAAAAAACAGTGCTTGTGTTTGTAAATGCATAGACAAGAGTCTAGAAGGATATAAAAGGCAATAAAGCTTGGGAGATAATCTGAGTTATGGAGAGAAGAGAAAAGGATGATTTCCTTTTTTAAAAAACACTCCTTTGTAAAAGCTGTTTGATTTTAAGCATGTAATATTTTAGAATTTCTTTATCATGCTGAAGAAAAGATACAAAATACGTGTTTATTTCTTTGGATTTTACCCAATTACAAAAGAGAAAGCCTCATTTCAGCTGAGATATCACATTACACAGTTACTCAAGCTTCAAGTGAAAAACATAGCCTGCCACTGTATGGGTCTAAAGACTATTTTTTCCCTAGGGAATGCAGACAAACAGGGCTGTAAGAGTCAGAGTCAATGAGATTCCTTATAATTAAAAAGAATTAAGGACTTCCCTGGTGGCGCAGTGGTTAAGAATCCACCTGCCAATGCAGGGGACACGGGTTCGAGCCCTGGTTCAGGAAGATCCTACATGCCGCGGAGCAACTAAGCCTGTGCGCCACAACTACTGAGCCCACAAGCCACAACTACTGAAGCCCACGCACCTAGAGCCTGTGTTCCGCAACAAAGAGGAGCCACCACAATGAGAAGCCCGCGCACCCCAAGGAGGGGTAGCCCCTGCTTGCCGCAACTAGAGAAAGCAAGTGGGCAGCAACAAAGACCCAACACAGCCAAAAATAATTAATTAATTAATTAATGGCAGAACCCCCCCCCCCACTTAAGGTTCTTTTCGTTGCAACATGAAAAACATAAAGCTAAAATCCAAAGAGAATGTGATTTCACTAACTCAGGCGTGAGTGAAGCCACCTCACGAGTTGTGGTTCTCATCCAGTTTCCAAGAGCCCCAAGGACCCTCTGTCCCACCCCTGTGAGGTCTTTAGTTTGAAACTGCAAAGGAAAATACATACCTGATTTTTGGGAAACACTTTTGGGAAATGAAGCAGTTCATAAGCTGCTGTTCTGATAATGAAAGGATCTAATATTCTGATTTGATACGGTTTATAGATCAGATTTAATGCTGGTTTCTTCCAAAAACCATTAGTGTTCTGAAATAAAGTAAGAAAACAGAAAATACAACTTGTTGTTGTCTCTTTTTTTTAATGAAAAAAAAATGAAGGTAATTGGAAGCCAGATCAATTTTGCCAACTTACTATTTTGCCACCTGTCAACAATTCCCACAGCCACTTTAAATCAAGCGGCTTAAAAGCAGTGAGAATCACCGTAGTATTAGGATCATTGTGATTGGGATCTGAAAAAACAGATTCTGGATAAAAAAGTCGGAAGGTAGTCCTTCTCCCAACTTCCTCTTCATGTCCTAAAATAGGACCATTATTCATTCTGTGGGTAGTAAAACACACAAGATATGTAGACCAAGTGCAGTACGGGTCACGTCCATCACAGTTCTCAGAGCTTTCAGAGATGGACAAACATTGTCAGCCGTGTAGCCAGGGCTCTAAAGCCACACGGCAATCCGTCAATCTTTCACACGTAACAGCCAAGGAAATAACTCCCTTTCGTGAAACAGCTGTTTGATCAAAGGCAGAAACATTCATTTGTGTTTGAAAATTAACTGTGGGGACCTGATAATTCATTCTTACCTCCAGAAAAATTGAAGACAAAATGAAACAAATGGGAACATAAAACCACAGAATACTCAAGCTAAAAGAGACGTGGCAGGACATCCAGACAAAACCCCTTGTGTTTGCAGATGAGGGCCCCAATGTACATAGAGAGAAAGTTACTTGCCCAGGGTTACACAATCATGTAGCAGGTGGACGTGTGTCTCAGTGACTGACAGGCAAGAGTCACAGTTAAGGTGATTTGAAAACCCACCAAAATTGTTGTGCTCTGAAATAAAGTAACAACATAAAATTGCTATATTTATACCCAAGCACAACCAAATGAATGACTATCTCTGGTGTGAACCAAAGAACCACAAAGGATCCAGTGTTGGGTTTGTGGATACTCAAAGCCAAGGTTAGACATATACTATTTATGCACACACCATGAAGGTGTGCTATGAAAAGGAATGCACTGTTCCCAAAACACTGTCCCCTAGGAGATAAATACTGTTTGACCCTTTGCCACTGACTGTGATATAAGGCAGCCTTAGTAACACCTGAAATGACTTTCATAATGTCTTTAATGGCATTTTCCCACAAGGGCCTGGTGTGGTTCTAGGTGACCAGATTTTAGACAATTATAAAGAAATTTGTGAGTGCTTCAACATTGTTTGTGGATAAATTTTCACAGCTTCCTCAAAGTGAATAATCCACAGAAAATAAGGTGACCACGTTATGCAGAAACCCTCAGCTTGTAACCCAGCAAAATGCCCAAGCACTGCCAGGTCATCCTAATGCATTGCCCAGCGCGAAGCTTTCCCACTCTACAGAAGACTATTCCTAGCCATTCCCAACACACACAAACTTCATGCCGGATGATGACCTGACTTCACCCTTTCAATGAGAAAACAGAACTCAAAATGTCCCACCATTATATCTACGGGACTTGGTAGCTGTAACCACAATCCCAGCTTTCCCTTCCACTGCAGAGATAACCACACTGGTGTTTGGACCCCATCCCCTCTCTTGTTACCACACCAACCTCCTTATTCATTTCCATCAGTTTACTAATATGCTTTAGAATCTATCTTTATAAAAGGAAACAAAATAGAAAATCTCCTTTGAGTCCATAATCATCTCCAGCGACTATCTCATTTCTCAACTCCACAGTGAAATTTCTCTAAAGAGTTGCTTCTACTGGTTTCTCCACTTTCTCACCTGTCATTCTCTCCTCAAACCACCCAACTTGGGCTTCTCCCCCGCACCGTGCCTCCAAGTCTTCTGTCAAGAGTAACAGTGAGCTTCAGCTTGCCAGTCCAATGGTGAACTCTGTCCTTATCTTACATGACCTCTCACCAGCCTTTGTCATGCTTGAAACCTCCCTCTGTCTTAAAACACTGTGCTCTCTTGGCTTTTGTGATCACCTTCTCCTGTCTTTCTTCCTACCTCACTGGTAGATCCTCTCCAACTCTTTAACTCCTTTTTCTTTGCTCAACCTTTAAGTTTTGACTACTTCAAAGCTCAGTCCTGGGCCCTCTTCTCTGTCTCTCCCTGGGAAATCTCACGCAGTCCATGGTTTAAGTACAACTTACAGGCTGTTCGCAATGAAGATTTTAACCTGTTTATCTAACTGCCTACTTTGACTTACCCACTGCAAATCTAGTAAGCATATCAAACCTGGTATGTTCAAACAATAATCTTGATTCTCCTCTAAACCTGTTCCTACCCTAGTCCTCCCCAATTCAATGAATGGTACCACTATCCAGCCAATCTCTTAAGCTGAAAACCTAGGAGGAGGTATCCTGCATTCCTTTATTCCCATCTCTGCTCACATCTAATGCATCAGAACATCCTGATAACTTTACCTCTAAGACATGCCTCAGTCTAGCCCCTTATCTCCTTCCACACCATGACAATCCTGTTGCAAGCCACCATTCTCTACCCAAATGCAGCAACCTAACTGGCCTCTTTGTTTCCACAGCTTGTCCTTCCTGTTTCATTGTCCATGCCATCACCAGGGTATTTTAAAGACATAACCAGATAGAGTTGCTCTCTTGCTTAACAATTTTCAAAAGTTTTCTGTTAACATAAAACGCAAGCTCTAATCGTAGTTTACAAAGTCCTACACAGCCTGCTCCTTACCTACCTCTTCGGCTGCCAATTGCACCACCTCCCCAGCCTGCTGCCCTCCAACCTCCCTGGTTTTCTTGCTGCTGCTCTTAAACCTAGCATCATACCCTCCTGGAGACCTGCAGTAAACATCCTCTCTGTCTGTATTCCCTAGTCTTCATACGGCCGGTACTGTGTGGTCTTAGGTCCAGTTGAGATGTGTCCCCTTCAAAACAGTCATCAATTCAAAAACAGCCACTCAGTCATTCTCTATCACACATGTTTTAATTGTTTGCATGGCATTTATTACTACATTTCTTTAATTACTGTTTTCTTCCCCTCATTAGAATGTAAGCTCCACGGGGAGCAAGAATATTATTCTTTTTCACTGCTATATCCCCCTAGAACTGTGCCTGGCATATTAAGGGGATTTCATAAATATTTGCTAAATAAATGACCTGAAATCTAGGCCTACTCCAGCCAACAGCTCGAGTAATGTGTAATGTACTTAAACATACTACAGCGACTCTACTTCCTTTTAAAACACAGCGGTATTAAAGCAGGAAACTATACTCTTTTGAAACAATTCCAGGTTAGCAAGTAGAAGATATATTTACCTTATTATTACATCATAGGAGTCAATTTTTTCTCCTAACGTCTTATTCTTCAAAACTCCGCCATTACCAACCACCACACATTTTTTACATGGCACACTGTTGGGCAAATGACAAGAGAGAGATTGAGCCATCTTTTACAAAACTGGGTGATTCCAAGAACCCATTCATACTTTGAGGAACCCAATACAAAATTTCACTTGTTGTACAAGTAGAAAAAGAACCAGTTGTAACTTACAGGTCTAGGGATATATTAGAAAGATATAAGATTCAAGAAATAACATTCCATAGGAAGTATATCATCATTAGCAACTATTAATGCATATCAGTTCACATACATCCCCTCATTTGATTCTCATAACCACCCACTGAGATGAGTAAGCCTGATATTCAATTTTACAAATGAAGAAAGAGATTCAAAAAACTGTTAGGTGGCATTTCAAAGTCATACTCCAAAGAGGTAAAATTAGGATTGGACTACAAAAATACCCCTCAATATAGGATTCTGCATGTTAATATTGATACAAGTGTGTTTCGTATTAGATGTGTATGTATTTTCCATCAGCATTACCCATTCCCCTGAGATTCCAGCTCTGGGTTACTGCTGCGTCTTATAAGTTTGGAGACAGACAGAATAGAATCTGGTTGGCAAAGTGCAGCTTCCTTGTACCTGCCCGTGCTCATTTCAATTCCCCAAACGGGTACTGGTTCTTGGAGCTTAACCAATACAAATGAAAAGTTTACTGTGTGTTCCTGGCAAAGAGCTTTAAAGTAGGACATGAAGTGGGACTTCCCATTGCTGGCCAGAATCAGCCTAGGCCAGTGGATTATCTACTGTTCAGCTCTCATCCAACGTGGCCTGGCCCTCAACATAATAAAAGCCATATATGACAAACCCACAGCAAACATCCTTCTCAAGGGTGAAAAACTGAAAGCATTTCCTCTAAGACCAGGATCAAGACAAGGATGTCCACTCTCACCACTTTTATTCAACATAGTTTTGGAAGTCCTAGCCACAGCAATCAGAGAAGAAAAAGAGGTAAAAGGAATCCAAATTGGAAAGAAGAAGTAAAACTGTCCCTGTTTGCAGATGACGTGATACTATACATAGAAAATCCTAAAGACGCTGCCAGAAAACTACTAGAGCCCATCAATAAATTTGGTAAAGTTGCAGCACACAAAATTACCACACAGAAATCTCTTGCATTCCTATACAGTAACAATGAAAGATCCAAAAGAGAAATTAAGGAAACAATCCCATTTACCATTGCAAAAGAAAAGAATACCTAGGAATAAACCTACCTAAGGAGGCAAAAAACCTGTATGTACTCAGAAAACTGTAAGACACTGATGAAAGAAATCAAAGGTGACAGAAACAGATGGAGGGATATACCATGTTCTTGGACTGGAAGAATCAATAATGTGAAAATGACTATACTACCCAAAGCAATCTACAGATTCAATGCAATCCCTATCAAATTATCAATAGCATTTTCCACAGAATTAGAACAAAAAATTTTACAATTTGTATGAAAACACAAAAGACCCCAAATAGCCAGAGCAATCTTGAGAAAGAAAAACAGAGCTGGAGGTATCAGGCTCCCTGACTTCAAACTATACTACGAAGTTACAGTAATCAAAACAGTATGGTACTGGCACAAAAAAAGAAATATAGGTCAGTGGAACAGGATAGAAAGTCCAGAGATAAACCCATGCACCTATGGTCACCTAATCTATGACAAAGCAGGCAACGATATACAATGGAGAAAAGACAGCCTCTTCAATAAGTGGTGCTGGGAAAACTGGACAGCTACATGTGAAACAATGAAATCAGAACATTCTGTAACACCATATACAAAAATAAACTCAAAATGGATTAAAGACCTAAGTGTAAGACCAGATACTATAAAACTCTTAGAGGAAAACAGGCAGAACATTCTCTGACACAAATCGCAGGAAGACCTTTTTTTGATTCACCTCCTAGAGTAATGAAAATAAAAACAAAAATAAACAAATGGGACGTAATTAAACTTAAAAGCTTTTGCACAGCAAAGGAAACCGTAAACAAAACAAAAAGACAACCCACAGAATGGGAGAAAATATTTGCAAATGAAGCAACCGACAAGGGATTAATCTCCAAAATAAACAGCTCATGCATCTCAATATCAAAAAAACAAACAACCCAATCAAATGAGCAGAAGATCTAAATAGACATTTCTCCAAAGAAGACATGCAGATGGCCAAGAGGCACGTGAAAAGATGCTCAACGTTGCTAATTATTAGAGAAATGCCAGTCAAAACTACAATGAGGTATCACCTCACACCGGTCAGAAGGGCCATCACCAAAACATCTACAAACAATAAATGCTGGAGAGGGTGTGGAGGAAAGGAAAGCCTCCTACACTGTTGGTGGGAATGTGAATTGGTGCAGCCACTATGGAGAACAGTATGGACGTTCCTTAAAAAACTAAAAACAGAGCTACCATATGATCCAGCAATCCCACTCCTGGGCATATATCCGGAGAAAATCAAAATTCAAAAAGATGCATGTACCCCAGTGTTAACTGCAGCACTATTTACAATAGCCAGGACATGGAAGCAACCATCAATGGAGGAATGGATAAAGACGACGTGCTACACACACACACACACACACACACACACAATGGAATATTACTCAGCCATAGAAAAGAATGAAATGATGCCATTTGCAACAACATGATGGACCTAGAGATTGTCATACTGAGTAAAGTAAGTCAGACAGAGAAAGACAAAGATATCATATGATATCACTTATATGTGGAATCTAAAAAAGTGGTACAAATGAACCTATTTATAACACAGAAAAAGAGTTACAGCTGTAGAAAACAAACTTATGGTTACCAAGGGGGAGAGGGACAGGGAAGGGATAAATTGGGAGATTGGGATTGACATATACATACTACTACATATAAAATAGATAACTAATAAGAACCTACTGTACAGCACAGGGAACTCTACTCAATACTCTGTAATGACCTATATGGGAAAAGAATCTAAAAAAGAGTGGATATATGTCTATATATAACTGATTCACTTTGCTGTACACCTGAAACTAACACAACATTATAAATCAACTATACTCCAATAAAAATTAATTTTTAAAAAATGGCCTGGCCCATCCAACTCCAAGCTCTCACCACCACTCGGCCAGGCCTGGAGAAATGACAGAACAGATCATGTCCTTCTCCTCTCGGGGAGAAAACTACAGAGGAGAAGGCTGTTGAGATTGTCCTTGCAAGGCCCTCATGACATGGAAGTATGAGGAAAAAACTGTTTCTCTAAGAACCATGAAATCAGCAGACCAGATGAACTCCAGACCGTAAGGCTCTTAGGAAATTAATCAGTAGCAAAATTGCACAAATGCTGTAGAATATTTAAACGTAGAGAACACAGCAATACAGGAACTACTGAAAGGAGCCAGGAGCTGGTCCTGTCAGGTTAAGGAGAGACAAGATACACATTCCTACACATGTAAATTTCCCTTTTTTATTTAGAATTTGTTTAGTTCATCTATTTGCTTGATGTTTTAAACTTTTTTTTTTTTTTTTTTTTTTTTTTTTGCGGTATGCGGGCCTCTCACTATTGTGGCCTCTCCCGTTGCGGAGCACAGGCTCCGGACACGCAGGCTCAGCGGCCGTGGCTCACGGGCCCAGCCGCTCCACGGCATGTGGGATCTTCCCAGACCGGGGCACGAACCCGTGTCCCCTGCATCGGCAGGCGGACTCTCAACCACTGCACCACCAGGGAAGCCCCACACCTTAAACTTTTTAAAAACACTTTTTTAATGTTTTGAGACTTTCAGCTCCCAAATATTAAAAAGTCATGCATAATCAGTGTCTACTTTGTTACAAAAACAAGAAGATCCAGGGTTTCACAGATGGTACTGATGGGGGCCGGGGGGCAACCATCCAACAGGCCCTCCTTGAGTCTGTACCCCCAGACCTCCTATGATGGACATGTCACAATGTGTTCTAGAGAAGTTTCTTTCCTAAATCTGCTTGTCTTTAACTATGAAAGGAACATTTCTAGGTGCTCTTATATACAAGTTTGACATAAATCCCAATTCCAGGAAGCTACTCTGTCCACGGTGCTCTGCAGCCAGGTGGCACGGAGAAGATGGGGGTGCTGGTCAACTTCAAAACGCTTTTCTCTCTGGGTCTGCGGCCATCCTCCTGAGCAGACCTGGCCCATGAGAGCTGTACAGCAGGGAGCAATTCCCACACACACAGCTTGTGTGGTTCCTCCTTCCATGACCTCACAGCCAGGTTAATGCAAAATCAGAGGCTGAACCTCCAGATGCTGCCCCGTCTCCCTGCCAGGACGCTAAGTGAGGCTGGGCACCAGGGAGGGAGTGGCTAGGAAGGGACAGGATGGAAATAACAGCTCTGTTCCTGGGAGGTCCCCTGTGTGGAGGTGAAGGAGGAATATCTATAATTTATGGCATGTAGACTAACCCTCTCCCTTCAAAGAAGGCTGGAGGCCACTCCCCTCCCAGCAACCATCCTGGACTGGGGTCCCCAGCCTGAACCAGGCTTGCCTGACTCCAATACCACCGAACATGCCGGGGCGGGGCCAGGAGCACAGGCCACCACTGTGTGTCCCCAGAGTTCTTATCTTGGAACCTCAACAAAGGACTCCTGCCCCACAGGCCTAATCTCTGCAGTTGAGCCCAGAAAGAGGGAACTCAGCTCAGTCCCAGACACAGCCAGTGGCATAAACACTCAGCCAGAAGTTTCCCTCAGTGTTATCTGTATCAGGCGGGATTACAGTTGATAATCAAGCCCCAGATCACATGTGACCGAAAGGTCATCACAATACAAGAAGGTACCATCTGTCATACTCAGGTCACATCCCTGGTCCCCTCTCAAACTCAAGGTCCTGAACCTCCTCTCACAAACCCTAACAAGCCTTCCAGCCAAAAGAAAAGGGCGAGTTAAGGGTGCAAGCAGATCTGTTTCACAGGAGCCCCAAGGATTGGTTACAGAGAGAGGGTCATTCCTTCTACTCAGCCTCCGCCCGCTTGGGAGAAATGAAAAGAAATCATATGGACACTGCCT